ATGAATTTTCTCTCCTGCAGAATTTCTTTTTAGCTCAAGGAAAAATATAGGTAAACGAATGATTTGGTCTTCTGCTTTCTTTGTGAACTGCTTTACTTTAATTATAGGGAAGCTTCTGCGTTCTAAGTCTGCGTGAATTGCTTGCTTTGTGTAGGATCTTGGGATATTCTTAAGTATAACTTTAATTGAAGAGGCTGAGGAAACTCAGTATGTATGAAAAATAATCTGTGCTTTCTGGAATTTATCAACTGTAGCTTTATAATCGGCTTCGATGGTAGTGTAAAGGAAAATCTGTCTACTAACTGAATTGAGAGGTTTTCCTCCTTTTTATAAGCTTTTTAAATTACGCGCGAGATTGCTCTAGCAATTTCTCGAAATCAAAAAGAGATATTTATTTATTAAATATTAAATGTACGTGCTCTTGTATTTTTAATTTTTCGGCTTAGCTTTCTTTTAATATTCGTCACGCACTGTACTGCACGGGGAATAAACAATTTAATTTATGTTGCTTTCATACAGTGCAAACAATTCAAAAGTGTGCGTCATCTATCTTTCAGTTAGCCGCTTTTTCTCCCCTGTAATTTACTTATTCAATTAGTTATTATTTTAAAATGCTGTTTCTCGTTTAACGCACATCGTTCAAGTGGTTTATATTCTTATTCGTCATGAAGAATTTTATGTACCTGACTTACCTGCAAATTGGAATGAATTCCTCGTTTTTTCGCTTTTGCGAGATTATAACTAGTTGGTCAAGTGAATTGACGAAAACGTTAAATTTTTCATTTTAAACGTTAAATTTTTCATTTAAACGTTAAATTTTTCATTTAACGAAAACGTTAAATTTTTCATTTAACGTTAAATTTTTCATTTAACGTTTTGACCTAAATATCGTTTTTCGTGCATTTTTTTAAAATTTCTAATTGCATTCTTTTTGTTTTATACTTTATCACCTGAAATGCAAGAAACGTGTTCTTAAAATTTCTAATTATGCATGGTAAGTTTTACCATGGCACATTAAATTAATAAAAAAATTAATTTTCTATTAATTTTTTTACATTTACTGAAATTATTCGAAAAGAAATACCTTCATAGGATTATTATGGTGTACTTCAGAATTTGTAAAAAATTACTCAGATAAACAAACGCTTTTATCAATCTCCACTGCACTGAATTTCCAGATGAATTGTTGTTTAATGTCTTTTTAATTTCATCTTCCAATGAAAAAGCAGGTAACGGTCTAGGCCTCATAAAACAAAAGACTTATAGTCTAAATCTATAGTTTTTTTTTACTTCCTTGTACAAAGTAAAATGTTTCAAGTATCATATTTCAACGAAAATATCCATTTTTACCGTTCCCGAATCCATCTGGATGATTTATTTTGGCGTGATGTGTGTTTGTGCACACAGAATGAAAGACTACATTTTTCAAAACGAATTGTAAGATGGATTTAAAATAGATTCAAAAGGGATTGTTTTAGTGACATTCTTTACATACGTATGTATGTGTCTCGCACACCTCAGCGATTAGCCATAGTTGAAATTTTGTATACATCGCTGCTATCTATTAGGTAGTTGTACACCTGCCCTTTTTATTGCAATCGGCAAAACTAAACGTGTATATATATATATATATATACGCGTTTGGTATCCTCTTTACCTGGCTTTTATTTTCGCAATCGTTGGTCCTAGCCTTATATTTCTATCGACAGAAGTGTTTTAAAAGACGAAAATATTCATGTTATAGCTGTGTCAAATGTTCGACAAATAACAAAATCTAACTTTTAATACGATCCCTGGTTCCTATACATCTATCTGAAACTGTTTTATGCTCGTTATGCAAAAATAAATTTATTCTAAGAAGCTTGAATCTCATATGATAAAAATTAACCTGGATATTTAATATCAAAATTTAGAAATTTTAATGTCATTTTCAACTTACCTTGAAAAATCAATTAATTAAGTCAGAATAATTCGTTATAGGAAGTGCATCAAAAATGTGTATTATTAAATAGAACATACAAGGAAGTCATGTGGTGCACTCATCTGATTTTCTATTATAATTTTTATTCTAATTTTTTTGTTTAGTTTCTCAAGCGGCATATGTTCGTCTTGTTTGCCATAAATAAAAATGATTGTAATTATGTTTTGACTTAAAACCATATGAGACTTTGAGAGTGTACGTTCTTTTATGGTCTGTAAGGAGTTATTTATAATTTTAAACATGAAATTATGGCTCTCATAATAAACCCTTATGTAAGAATAATTGCTTAACACAGTAATTAATATTATACAACGGTTTATTACGTGAAAGCCTTCGCATATTCTTGCTGTAATATGCTATCCCTGTATTTCTGATATTTTCACTTAAAATAAAGCTTTCATGTTTACAGTAAAAGTTGCGCTTCAAAATATTAAAACAGGTATATAAAATCAGTCCTCAAAATGAATTTGATTAAGTTATAACGTTGCGCGCCTCTAACTAGCACGCAACCAAGAGGTGACTGTGAAAGCTTGTATAAACCACAGAGTCTTATAAAGGGTTTAAGTCCCTTTTTATTCAACGTACTAATTTACAATTGCGTTCTCTTGACGCTTACAAACGGTGCCAACTCGGCAGTCAAAATAAAAATAAAAACCTGAAAAGAAATTAAAGACAATATTCTAACTACGAGGCTCTCTCAAATAACTAACTCACCGCGTTTTACAATACGGCTGCTAATTCAGCAGACTTGAAGCTCACTGGAACAATTGCAACTACTTCCCGCCAAGCACATAGGCCGCAACGCGGGGTTTTTCAAATCTCTATAACTACCTCCGCGCTCGCTAAGTAAGAATAACTCTCTCTCACCGAACTTGTTTCCTTCTATTTAAATCATACTACTTCCGCTGATAATTTGAATCCTTGCGCGTTCTACTCAAATTTACATATTCTGGCATTGGCAGTTCCAGGGGAAAGTAAGGATTGACAGGAAAGATAGTTTAAACTTAAAATAAATGTTAGTTAAAATAAATATAAACCCTACAAAGTCTTGTGAAACAAATTGCAAAATTTACTTCGGTGCCATTTAATATAGACTGCAATGACCATAGAAATTCAGTAATGAAAGTAAATAACTGGCTTATATCGTAATAACAGAGTTATAATGTAGAACAAACAAGCAGCACATTATGAAATCAAAAGAATTTGTCTAATTTCCATCGTATAAATAGGATACTTATAACAATACATATAAATAGGATAAGACCGAAAAATTAATATTATATTATACTTTATGTTCACTCAAATGAAAATAGAGATATTATATTTGAATTTGGTATAGATTTGCTTAACTTCATGTGAGAAACTATCCAAAATGTTTTTAAAATTGCATGCCATCGTTATTTTTAATAAAGAAATCAATAAATGTACAAATAAGTAGACTGCTTCCCCGATATATTAAATGTTATTTTCAGAATATATATGTGCAAAATAATCCTGGACTTTAGTAGTTTTAATATCAGAATGCTTACATGGGATAAAACGTTTGTTTTAGAAACACGATTTTGCTTGTTTTCCCAATACAGGAAACTTTTGCGTGATTGCAACCATTGAGTTGTTATTATGTAATACCTCTATGTTTACACTATCTTATAAATCAAATTTTAAAATATGTATGTGATGATTCGAGAGTGTTGATTTCGATTATAATAGATGTTGAAGCACAAAATAGTTGGAACTTGCAGTCAGGGAAAATTTTAAATATTTTATTTTATTTTTGTTAAACACTTTGCCTCTCTAAAATACTTGACACACTAATCGTGGCTGTTCAGAACGTAATATTTATGTTTTTTTATATTTATATATGAGACTGTTGTCATAAGAAAAAATTCCGAATTAACTACGTCTTCATCGTTATGTAAAGGATGGAAAGGAAAAATATCCAAATTAAAATTAGAAATGAAGTGGCTAATGAAAATTTAATTTGTAATTTTGACTTTCGTGTTTTTTATCTTACATATATATCGAAATGTTCTACATTAGAATTTATGGAAATGCTTTTTAATGTATTATAAGCGAATTTTCATTATTTAGTGATAAATTTATGAATAAATTTCAATGACGTTGACTTTCCAAAACGAGATTAATTCATTTTTTCATATCTTGCAAAGTGTTCATGCATTTAAAGTGCACAACTACTAATTATTCACATTAGGGAATTTAAATTCAGAAGATAAATAAGTAGGGCAAATGTATTATAAAGTGACATTAATTTTGGAATTATGCATTGAGACGAAGTCACTTCCGTTATTTAAAGAAGAAAAAGATCCTAAAACCTACCTCTTGTCATAGGTTATCCTGAAAATTTGGGGAGAGGGACATGTGCTATTAAAAAATTGGGGCAATCCTGGTAAGTGTCAGGTAAATTCAGATATAAGACTCCATTGCGTTTATGTATGGTATCATAAGCTGTTATCTCCGTGCTTCATAGTTATCATTATTTATGTTAAGAAGAAATATATTGAAAATCGGAACTAACTTTTTAGGAAGATGTAAATGCTGTCTTAAACTACAGGAAGCACGGAATAGCGCAAAGTATCTTGAAAAATGATATTTCTTCAACCTATACTTAAATCAGTTTGCAAATGTACGCCATTGTTCCACCAAATTTGCCTATATGTGATTAAGATACTTCAGTCGTTAAGTTAATCCAAGCTTGGTCAATATCATGCTTATTACTTAAACAGATGCTTCATAAAGTTCGTAAAGATAGGGACAAGCACTAAAAAAGGCATAGCTTTGCTTGTCTTTATTACTTCTTTGTTTGTAAATACCAGCCTGCTTGTACGAGTTACGACTGGCTATAGTAAAGCAGGTGTTATTTCCCATCAGCTTTATAGTCTTTCCATAAAATGCGCAAAACAATGTTGTACTCCATATAGGAACATGATGTTAACAAAAAATGCATACATATGAGAAAAGTCCAAATGAAATTTTGAGAAAATTTTGTTTTTCTCCCTAGGTGGATGTGAACACAAGCATTGCGAATATTACGCTGCCTGTGAAAGTGATTCTGAAGGAGTTGGACGATGCGTTTGCCCTAAAAACTGCGTAAAGGTAATTGTTTATTTATAAGATGCTGGTTTTTTATATCTTTGTGCTCCGGAAGGTATTCGAATACGTTTCGCGAAAGCAAAACTAGAAAGAGGATAAAGCAGCATTTTTTACTTGCTTTCAGTAGATTGCAAATAACTCTTACTTTTCAGGTTACCTAAAAGTAATTTTATGAAAATTTTTCTCTGAACATCTGCTATTGAGATGCTGAATTATATTGCCACTCATGACATATTAACAACCGCTTTTAAGGATGCATTTAATTATTACGTAGTTTCATAAGCGTTTAAACCAATTTTTTAAAATTATAATATCGGAAATATATAGATTATGGTGAACCTTTTTATTTCAGAAACCTGAAAATTTTCATACCCTAAATCAACCATTTCAAGTAAAAATTTTGCAGAATTTATTAGGTTTGTGTGCGTTTTAAACTTTCGTCTTGAATAGCTGCTGAACTTATAAGCTTAACTTTTCTATTCCAGTTAATCATTTATTAAATTTGATCTATATCCAATTATTTATCTGAAAAGAATATTTCATGTAAAATGAAAAGCTTGGTTTAAGATTTGAAGATCTTTGATAATTATGGATTTAAACTAGCAGTGTCGTGAAAGGTGCCCATCGCATATCCATTTTTATTACACTTGTTTATTTTTTTTATTATTATTTTAATCTTATGGCTTGTGTACGAGGCTTTTGACATATGTTTTGCTCTGGAAATTAATCACGGGTTTCGTAGCTCAAATGTCTAATAAAAGCAATTCCATTACATGGCATGAAGCCAACTTCTTTCACGTATCCTGGAAAGCAGACATTTTACTTGATCTTAGCAAAATAAATCTGTATTTTGTGAAGACTGTATTTTTTCTTTTTATTAGATGAAAGTTGTCACAAGAAAAATAATAATAGTTGTTTTCAAATGTTAATAAATGCAGTTTAAGTGATTATTTCAAATCATAATTTGTTCATTTTTGCTGCTAAATTACAAACTAAAACCTAAAATAACTTACAATGTATTTTATCTGACTTTGCCGATCTGTCAGATTACGGCTCAAAACTTAAAGTAGCTAATATTTCATAAAGTTTATCTAAACCTAAAATAACTTACAATGTATTTTATCTGACTTTGCCGATCTGTCAGATTACGGCTCAAAACTTAAAGTAGCTAATATTTCATAAAGTTAAATACCATTTTTATTTCGAGTCAAAGAATGTGTGAGGCGATCTTACAAATTTCGGAATTACGTTAAAAATAGATTAGTATCAACTTTACAATACTGAAAATAAATCATACCTCTACATCTCAGCTTATAATTAGAAGATAACATAGTTTATACTGTGCATATGGATGTTTAAATGTTTGGCATACGTAGGTGGAGTATAGTAGGAATTAATTGCTAGTCTCCAGGACATTAAACAAGGAGTTTGAATGGCCTCATGAACGTCATGTTAATATCCTGTTAATGTCTTCAAAAGATCATTTATCTACACCAAAAGATAAGATCACTTGTTTTGGATATCTTATCTACGTCAAAAGATCGCTGGTTTGCAACATTTAGAAGAATGGCTCTATCATGCTTGTCCTCAAAGGGACTTTATCATCATTGATCGTATATATTATTTGAGTAGCAGCACATGAAAATATAATAACAAATAACTTTTTTCTTATCTTGAAAGAATAAGAAGGGTTTATATGAATTCCTTCTAATCAGAATATAATTATTTCCAATGTTGGTAAGGGAGGTAAAACCATTGTAATGGACAAAAGCACATCAACTGATACAGCCATGAAAGTGTTGTGCTCGATCTTTAGAAATCTTTCAGCTCTTGACCTTTCGAAGTTAAAAGCCACTATTAAGTCACCTCATATACTCCACGCTAAGTAGAAGAAGTCATTTAACACATTCATTAATACCAGTGCTAGATTTAATGCTTTTCCCAAATTTGGAATTCCGTTTAATCGTATAGTTTCTAACTTAGAGACAGTATCATGAATTTGGGTCAAATATTTGTCTTTAAAATTTTCTTTGTTTCCATTTGACAATTTACAGTGTAAAAACGACTTTTCAATCTGTCAGTATAGGACATCTCTCCCTATCACTCAATTATGGCGTCATTAGATGTAAAATTCCCTTTTATTAATGCTTCAACTAAACAAGAATAAAAATGTCTTGAAATCAGAGTTCGGAAATTCTGTTTACACATAATGAACTTAAAGTATTAATCTCTCTCATTAAAGTTTCTCAGGAACAGACGCATTTAATTTTCTAAAATAATTACTAGCACCAAACAACCCTTCATTCCAGAATATCTGCTTACGTTTACATTCAAGAATTGTTTGTTTACAGTATTTGAAAAGCGTTCTTCTTTTCTGAATTTGCTATATTGGTGAACTTCTAAAGCATTTTCATCGCAATCAAGATAATTTCACGAAGAACTCTGATTTCAAGACATTTTAATTCTTTAATAGAAACATAAATAAAAGGTAATTTTACATCAAACGAGACCTGTCATAAATTCGACTGATACACATTTTGTTTACTTTATAAACTGACGCAAATAATTATCTTCCTTTGCTTGATTTTTGAATTATACCCGACGAGTATCATTTCATCACTGTCGTTTACAGCAAATGCTTTTCTGTTTGCTTCCCGCTTAGGCTAAATTATGTCACCCTGCTAAATATAGGAAAATCGTTTTAAATTCTTATACGTGTATAGGATACTTCAACATTTCTTCTTCATAAAATTTCTTTTGAATTCAATTATTTTAAATCAGTTGTCATTGACAGAGGATTTTTCCTCACGGATTTTCATAAAGCTTTCAGAGATTTTTCTCTCGTCATCGTAAAATAGACTGTGCTATGAGAAATGACCATAATAGCTTTGCTCTTAAATCGCATTATCCTTCTGTCAGTTATAAAATTACTTGAATTATCCTTAGGTTTAACTTTCAAGTTATTTTTTGACTCATTTATTACATATTGTTACTTTCAAATAAAATTCTTCTTTTGATTTCAGTAGATTCTACTTCTAATATTAATTATTGAGTAATTTATAGCATTTCTTGTCAGTATAGTATGGCATTTATTCGCCAAATGAAGAAAGCGTTATAACGTGGCAACAAAATACAAATCCTGTGTTTAAAAACGAGATGTAAACAAATGCTGAGCAGCTTAAAATATGGCTGCTTACTTAATATAATTTTGTTTTTGATTCTGTAATTATTATTAACGCACCTTCTTCAGTCGGTGAAATAGAGGTTTTAAAACTTCGTTCATAGAAAATTAAGCCTTTTACTTAACTTTTAATACTACTAAATTGCTATTAATATTATTACGACTTAGTTTACCCTACCTTACTTCTTCAGTTTTGTTTTTCAATTCCAAACATGTTTTTTCAAGTGCCTTTCAAAATTATAATATTTCAACTTTTTTCGTACTTTATTATTGTGTTCCACAACAGATTGCTCTACGCTCATTTTCTCTTTATTCTTCCAATCAAATTTCCTTACGAATTTAGTTATTTGCGCTTCCCACTTTTACAAAAGTGTTTAGCTTCTGAAAATTAAGAAGAACGCACTTAAGATTTTCTTTAAATCAATTCAAAATCTAAATTAATTTAAAAGTGTTCTTTTGAATAATTTTAAATTAACATACACATTTACAAGGCATTAGGAGAATTTTATTTTAAATCCGTTGTAATGTTGTTTTACAACAATCTTTATCTATGTTCCTTCAGGATTCAGAAGATTTTTAGTTTCTCAAACTACGTTAGGTAGGTAGCGAATACCGTTTAATTTGCCCTATGTATCAAAACTTAATTTTGCATTCTAAGAAACGAAGTTTGGCAAAAGGTTTAATAAATTAAAACGTTAATCACAAATGCTATAAATGAATCGAATGGTACAAAAAATAACGTTCTGCTTGTGAATTTACGTGTAGCTGTTATGCGAATAATGAGTCAGATAATTAATTTTATTCATAATAAAAATTAAGATGTAAAGTAAGGGTACTTCAATTAAAAAATTAATCTCACAAGTTAAGAAAAAAACTGATAATTAAGTACCTTAATTTACAAGAAGAAAACAAACATACTCTGCTGTGACGTAAAAATTAATATTAAACTCCCACTAACTTTACTTTTTTCCTCGAGCAAAGTCAACACCGTAACCACCTAACGCATTAAATGATATTTTTAAACCTCGGAAAAAAATGTTAAACCCCATATTATATGACATTTCTTAATCGTGGTTATGCTTTGTAATTACACATTTTCTGCTACATCCAACTCAAAAAACAAAACGTTTCTCAAGTGGAAAAAAAAAGTCATTTAAGTACCCAATTAAATCTAGGAAAAAGAAAGGAAATGTAGATTGTTTCTTTATTAAATGATTTATAGATATTCTTGGACTGTTACACAGAAAAAATATATTTGACCGTTTCCTTTGTATCTGCTTTAAATTCATTACCACCATCTATGAACACTTAATATTACACTTTTTTATTATCTACAGTGCTCGTTAACAAAATACTTTGCTTCTTCCGAAAGAAAAATACTAGAAACTTCTGCGGAAGGCTTCATAATTCTTCTTAATGTCCTCTCTTTCTCTTAATATGTTGTAATTGAGATTAGTTTCCTTTTGGTTTTACCTCGCAGAAGCATTCCTGCAAAGAAAATGTTCTATGCGTTAACTAAAGCAAATACCTTAGATAATTCTCAAGTCTTTTTGCAATTATTTTAATTGCAAAAAGACTAAACACATTTGGTAATTTAACTAAAGGAAAAAAACTAAAATTTAACTAATTTATGATAATTTATTATTTTCAATTATATAAATTTTATATGTATGTATAACTCAAATTTATGGGTATTTAGTGTACTCTAAACAAAATGGCTGGCGGCGAGATGGAATGAGAAGAGATATGATAGGTATTTTGAAAATGTGTTCAGTTGTCCAGTGCTTTTTCAAATATATCTTTAATAATAATACACTAAAAAATAGTTTCTAGAACATCTTTTGAATAGACGCAAGATTATTTTCAAGCATTTGTTTACAAACAAGCAAATTAAAACTTAAACTGACTGACTGAAAAACTCAGATTTTTAAGGATTTAGATTTTATTATTTTTTACTATGTTAGCTTTATTGTTAATATGATTATGTAGAAGAAGTCATTATACAAAAACTTCTCTCAATTTTAACTCAGTTATGCTATTTTACATCAATCCTAAGCAAGTATTTCATGATGAAAAGGAAATAAATGAATATATTAACTTTGTATTGTTTTGTATGCAATTAATATTTAACTGTGTGACGACCATTTATGCAGATCAACATAGGAAACAAAACAATACTTTGACATGCCAAAATTCCTTGGAATATCTCTCCAATATCTCTATAGGCTCTCCCTTTAACTAGAAAAATGCGACATTTGAAAAGTTTGCATTTTTTCCGTTTCATACAGCAAGTGATAACTGGGAAAACATTTTGAAGGTACTACATTTAAATTTGACATAACTATGTGTGTTAACATTACTAGTCTTGCAAACATAATTTCTGTTCGAAGGTTAGCTTTATCGGCTTAAACATTAAATTTAGTATAACTTCTTTCTAGATTGTAGACGTAACATTGTACAATATTTCTGCTAGTTTGTGTAAGCAAAGTACTTTAAATGAACTAATGATTAATCTTTGCAAGAGCTGAGCAAAAAAACTAATCTGTTTGAAAGGGTACGTTGTTATTAATCATTAAGCTGTCAGAAATTAAGTGGAATAAGATCAAATTGACCTCAAAGAAATGTTTTTCATTTATGACTAAAAACTAAAGCGAGCGTTGTAGATTCCACAAATTTGTAATAGTTTTAGGTTTGAAAGGTTTGAAGTATCAAATCATCGTAAAACGTGTAAATTAACAAGGCCATGCCATTTGTTTAAAGAGACTATTTTTAAAAAGTTTGTTTTCAAACAGCTTTTAACTAAGACATGTGAATATCTTTTTCCTAATTATTAAGGACTATTTATATCAATAGTATTATGGCATAAGCAGTTCCTTTCAAAAGTATGTAAGTTACAAAAAGTTACAAAAACAAGTGTTTCTTAGAGATCTGAGCTCGAAGAAAAAACAAAGTTACTTAAATATGTTCAAGGATAAACCGGAAAGTCCTAAAGGTATTCACATGTCTTAGTTACACATGTCTTAGTCTTGATCTTAGCTCTAAATACATTCAAACGTGGAGAGAAGGTAGTCATGTGTTTTAATGAAGGTACTTACTGAATGAAGGCAAACTCAAGTACTGAAAGCTTCATGGATTAATCCAAGGGCGTGCAAGGGGCTTGATAAAATTCAATTTCAAAGTTAAACTATTACTTAAATAATCATTCAGGAAGCAATAATCCTTTAAATGCAAAATAAAAGGAAACTTAAAACTGCAGAGCAATCTTATAGCAACGCTAAAATACAAAGAAGATAAAAAAAAGTTAGGATGAAGTTAATAAAGCAATTTGGTTGGTCCTTCAAGTTCTCTTAAAAGGATTGGTTTCAATATATATGTGCATTTTTTTAAATCTCCTTACGGAAATAAGGCGAAAATTTTATTTTAAAACTTGTCATACCGAAACAAGTTGAGTGAACCTATTTAAATTTATATCTTAGAAGACATTTGTACTGAATCACTGATATTTGTTTAAAACGAATGCTTCATTTTTTACGCTTTCAAACATTCTAATATTCAGAAATTTTTCGAAATTTTATGCCGTACATATTAGAACAAAAACAAGCTCATTTAAATTTCTGAATATATATTTAAATACTAATGCAAATTCAAAGTGTTTCAGCGCAGAACAAAACTTTTTATGTGTACCTGTTTATGATAATGTATGTGAAGTCTTTAGTTTGGCATTTTTAAGATTTCTGGTCAAAAATATTATATTAATTATAAAATGTAAATTTTTATTGTAATAATAATAATTTTTAATCAAAAAAAATTTAACTTTTGCCGTAATTTTACTAGAAATTTATTTCTGTAGTTATTGTGAAGATTTTACTTTTTTTGGGGGGAAATGTCTAAACCGTCTTACTTAAGTCATTTCCTCTCTTGATCTCTACCAGTGTAACGGTTCGGATAAGCAATTCGAAGTATTTCGGATTCGAGACTGGCAATGACATTATCTAGGTTTCTGTCTCTAGGTTGTAGGTTCGTTTTCTTTACTACAGCTTATTTTCTTTTTGTGATAGGTGGATGCAGTAATTTGTGGCACAGATGGCGTGACGTACAGAAATGAGTGTGAAATGAGAGTAGCAGCATGTGAGAAAGAGCAGTATGTTATGGTTGGATCCCGAGGACCATGTGGTAAGTAAATATTTCAAGATAAATGTATGCAAGATACCATTAACAGGAGTTCGTACTTGTAACGCAGTCTAAAACCTGAATCTTATCTTTATTTCAGAATGCTTCATTAACTTTGATTTGCATGCATATATAAGCATTATTTTGAATTTACGTTGTAGTAGCTAATGTTTAAAATCAGGTCATCTTGCAAAACAATTGGTATTTATCTTGGACAATTGGAATTGGAACAATTGGAAACAACTGGAATTTAATCAAGTTCAGTTATGTTTCATTTCATCCCTTAATTCGAGCTGCTGTTTAATTGTACAACATATATTCAGAATGTTAATTTTGCTTTCTTTGCCATTTTTATGACTTCATTTCATAACATTTTTTATCAATAAGGAAGTCCATAAATTTTGCGATATTTAATAAATTTTAACAAAATTTAAGAAATAGGTGCAATGAAACTGGTGATGCAGGAGAATGTATTAAAAGAAGTCGTACTGGGTGGGTGGGTGGGAAAGCGGAAGGGAAATTCACTGGAGAGGAATTCACTGTAGGGAAATTCACTGAGCAATAGCTCAAAATTTTTCCAAGTATTATTTTTTTTCAAGTATTTATGTCTTACAACAAAATTTTTATGTCGTTTTACATTTCCAATGTATATCCTCGAAGAATCATTCTCACATTATAATACAATTATGCCATTAACTTCCTTATCCTTCTCAGATTTACGTAATAATTTAACTGAATAATTTATAGGCTAGTAATTTAATATTTAATTTTCTTAAGGAATCGCGGAATCATTCCGTTTTCTTCTTTCTGTTCCTTACCTATTTATCGCATATTTAAAGTGAGTTGTGGGCATAATTATTTCATTCATTCGTATAATATTCAAAGCATCAAGTAGGAAAACACTTTCCTCGTAAACATTTATTTCCAACTGTGTTTTTTTTTTTTTTTTTTTTTTTTTTTTTTTTTTTTTCCTCTCTCAATTCCAAATGTTTTTACCAAATCTGTTACAACCTAGTTTCAAAAGACTGTAATATATTAAAACAATATAATTTTCATCTGTGATAATTTTCGCAGAAACAGATCGAGTTATTGTTGTCAAAAATTAAAAATTGCAGAATTGTTAAAAATTCCTGAAAGTATTTTTTCGTATAAAAGAATGTAATTAGTAATAGATCAAATTTAGAAGGTATTAGATAAGCTGAAAATAAAACGAATAATATAACGAATGAAGGAGCTTTGTGAAAAACCCTGACTAGCACATAAAATAACAAAAGTGTGAAGTATTTTCTCCCTCCTTTTCCGTGTGTCTTTGTAGCAAAATTGAAAATTACGTCCAGCTAACATCGCAAGGTTTTTAGTTCGAATCTCAGCGAAGGTACGGTTTGATTGTTTAAAATTTCCTATTTCATGAACCCTAATGGTTTATTTTAATTAAAGTATATTTAATTGCTATACTGAATTAACAAATAGTTGAACAAATTTTGGAAAACTTCAGTTGAAGAAATTAAAAGTTAAATGATATATTGATATTATGCTAATTACTACAAATTAATTATTAGAAAATTCAAACGGAAAATAGGTTAAACCTTACTTTATCATAAACTTTCATAACGAGTACTTAATATGTCAAGATATTCTGTTAAAATCTTGAGTAAATTAAAGAAAATAAATAAATAACATTTCTAAAAGCGTGATTTGAATTTTATTCTTCAACTATTGATGATATGAATATGCTGGTATTTCTAAGCCTTATATATCTCTCACATCTTTCCCAAAGTGACAGTGATCTTACAATATTCTCATTTTGGCCTGTGTTAACACTTTCAATAATTATGAAACATCATGAGCTACACAAATGGATTTCAAAATTTATAAATTTTAATATCTGTTAACTTTGTCGCGATCCTAGTTCTAGCCGAAAAGACATTAAGCAATTATATGATGCAACATTAAAATGTTGTTTTTTGCTGTTATTATTTTAATAAAGAATTTCGTCAAATTAAAACTCGATATCTATTATAATTGTAAAGGTACCTGTCAGGATTGTGTAAATATAGAGAGAGACCTTTAGCGATATTGCAAATATCTAAAAGCAACCAAAATTTGTGCAGTATGTTCCTTACATGCGGGTTAATATACTACATATGTTTGGCATATAGAATTTTAGGTATAAAAGAAGGAATCCAGAAATGCCCTGTAAATTCTAAAGGATTCTTCCATGATGAACGGAATCTTTAGTATGATTTTAAATTCGATAAATATTTATTGGCATTTACATTATTATGTTTACATGCTACTGAAATTATTCTAGGCTATGAATATTCCAACGTGTTCCAATGTAATACACTAGGTAACGGAACACTAGGTACACTAATACACTAGGTACACTAAGTAACGGAATTTTAATCTAGAATATATATGTCATATTTTATGTTCCTGGTTTACATCAAAATAACAGAAATGAAAAATATATATATATATATATAAAACAAAGTTTCTTTTGGTATGCGAATTGTCTCAATATGTCAAAGAAAAAATATGGGATTGACGATAAGATTCTCGAAGAAATTTCTTGAAAAACATGTTTTTGTACCCTTTAATTTGTTGTTCCAGAATCGAGTTCTTTTTGTGTTCATGGCCGCCCATCCTACTGTATAGTAGCAGAAAAGCAATATTATTTTTCATTGTTTTTGACACAACTGTGAGTTTACCTCTAACCATCAGCTAGCGCATGCGCATGAGAAATAGATGACAAAAATTGAAAAAGAAAATGTATCTGCAATTGAAAAATCCTGTACATACAATAGATGCTTTCGGAAATATAATTTATTTATTTTACATACATCTTACTCGAATAAATGCGCATCTTTTGAAAAAAATAGATACGAGAGTAGTTTGTAGTTAGTTATAGCACTCTATTAAGTTTTTTGTATCATATAGAAAACCAAAAATTTTGTATCATATAGAAAAAGTTAATGGATACTTCGAGTTGTCAAGTACTCACCTCTGAGTATTACTTCTTAAAATGTATTCAATATAATTTCTTTATTTTACATACCTCTTACTTGAATAAATGCGCATCGTTTGAAAAAAATAGATACGAGAGTTATTTGTAGTTAGTTATAGCACTCTATTAAGTTTTTTGTATCATATAGAAAACCATAAGTTAAAGGATACTTCGAGTTGTCAAGTACGCACCTCTGAGTATTACTTCTTAAAATGTAGAGAGGAGCTGCGTTATTTTAAGTAACCAATCTCATAAAGGGAGCGATCTAGCTTGCCACTGATAATTATTCACACGTTCATTAAATGCAAGCATAAAATCGAAAGAGGGGCAAACTACTTAAATTCATCATAGGAAAGTATATTATAATCAAAATATGAGCGAGAAAGATCCTTATCACATATTGGGAAGTCAAATATCACATCTTTCCCAAAGTGTATATACAAAAAGAGGTATATCCTAATGGTATTGTATCTTTTTATATACAGAGAGATAGTTAGGTAGACAGATATATAAATGCAGATATAAATATCCTTCTCATATTGCTAGCTTATTATTTAGAAACTTCTAATTAATTCGCGTAATTTTCAACGTATAAATTCAAGAAGCGGGTGGTTCCAATTCAAAACATTAATCAACCAGTATCTGACGTTTCACAGATTAGTACAATTTCCCTCGTAAATGAAAGCCGTTCAGTTTATAATCAACCTTCATACTTCTCTCTGATGGAACGATAGATGGACATATATTATATTGCGTGTCCCAATACTTCAAAAACTGAATGTAAGCAAACAGACTTGTGAGACCAGTTCCTAATTCTTTATTTACCTTTTCCAACAATTGCAAGGTCACAATCCATAGACATTAAACACAAGATGCTGAAAATGACGAGAGGCAACATTTTTATATTCAGCGTTATGTAACAGTCTCTTATCATATCAAAATATCTAGGACTTATGAATGTAGTTCAGTGTCTTTTTTCTTATGGTCCGTTTCTACCAACTAGTTGTAATAGGATAATACGAGCACTGATAGATACTCATTATACTTCTGTTTTTCTTTAGATCTTTTTTTAATTTATTTTTTTTATTTTCCTTGCATAAAAGGAACATTTAAGCAACATTTAGACCCAATACTAGCATAGGAACGTTATGCAGCTAACAGATTAATCTATAATATAGCAACTCGAGACGAATTGAGAAAACTCTTCGGGTTTCACGACTGGAGCATCTGTAATCATAAATTTCTCTGGAAAAAAGTAATTTTTCACAAGCTATTTTTATTAATTGAAACCAATTGTTTGTGCCGAAACCAATTATCATATGCAAAGTTACTTTATTTTAAAATATATATTTATATCTTATCTTAAAGGCGCTAAAAATTTTGTAGTTTTCTTAAAATCTATTACTTATACTTTCTATACTGGGGATTCGATTAAATCTAATTCTGTTTACTAATCTGTTAATGTTACTGAAATGTAAACTAATAACGTTTCAACACAAAAGTTGACGAGATATAAATCCTGAAATTCGTTTTTTATTCTTTATTTTGCAGATCTATGTCAGAATGTCCACTGCAAGCACGGTGCAAGATGCGAAGGTGGTCATTGCATCTGTGCTTTCGACTGCCCAGATGCCTACGATCCGGTGTGTGGTAGCGATGGAACCACTTACAGGAACGACTGCGAAATGAGGCGTGGTTCATGTCAGAAAGGCATCAACCTAGCTACTGTGTTTTTTGGAGAATGTGACAGGACGCTTTCCGGGCCAAGAGAAGGTAATCTGAATCTCCATACAATCTTATTTCATCTAGACTTGTGTTTTTAATTGTGCATTTGAAATTTAAATCAACCAAATCCATATAAAGATCATGTTTAGTCGAAAATTTAAATCCTAACACCTGAGTTTAAGAAATTTAATAGTTATTTTAGTAAATTTATTTTAGAAACAGTGAACTTATTTGCTACCTAGCTGCAATACACGAATTTCAAACAATAAAATGTAAGTTGTGAACTTGCTTTTCTTCCCTTTTAAATTGCTATGGTGCGTGAATAATTCAGGTAAGGTTCTTGTTCTCTGCAACATTTTATGGGAGCATTCGATACGTTAAGTCTAACATGCTAGACTTCAAACTTATGTCTGTCGTCTGAGATTTAAATTGAAAATTAATTTTTAAATTTAATATAGTAATACAAATATTTTGTCTCATCTTTCAAAGCATTCCTGACATGCATTCTACAGTCATCATAGTCGCTGAAACACGAAACGGAAAAATATTGCTTCAGCGTGTGAAAGAAATGAAAATCACTTGAAATCAAATGTGGTATAAACTAAAGGCAATTAGTAGCTCAAATCAGCATTACTGAGTAAGAGTTTTGAAAATATGAGGCTTGCGTGACGTTGGTGCAAAACCAACAGAAAATCAAATTCTACTGAATTTATAATGGCGTTTTCTTTTATGCCTTGTCGAAATTAAGCAATAAAATTAGCCTAAAGTACTTGGAATAGTGGCATTATGTGATATAAAATCAAGTTAAAGGATCCCCATGCCTTCCAAACATTTATGCCCAAAATCTTCCCTGTAGATTGGAGTAATATATGGGGTTTCCAACACCATGTTCCATTTCATCGCAACAGTCATATTTCATCTCCTGTAAGTAGACGTAAATGAAATTTTATTAGCCATTATTATGCTCAGTTATTGTAAACATTTCTTCTGTTTAGGCATCAACATGTTCGGTACTCGTATGACGCAGTTCATGACAGCCACAGACTTTCATGCACGATCTTTTTCTCATTGAACCTGCACAGAGGAACAGGTCCGTGATAGTCTGAACAATAGTCATTGATTTATCAACAAACAATCTCTAGACCATAGCGCGAAAAGAATTGCTGCCACCCGAGCAGTCTCCGAGTCATGTCAAAAAAAAATCAGAACAATATAAACTGAAATCAATGAAAACTTTTAAGTTTACTTTTGAAGAAAAACTTTAATTCTAACACTTCAAAATCATATTATTCTTTTGCTTGTTTCCAAAACTATCCGTGAAACTATAGAGGTCTATTTGATTGCCCTTGCTGCTATGCAGGCAGTACAGAAAGACTTCTTAATGCAAAGTATGCAGTTGTAGATATTAAATACTTCTCAAATGATCTTTATATAAAAAGCGCTTCTCACAACTAGCAACACGTACAGCAAGCAAAATTTCAAGAAGGAGTGTCCTTGTAAGTTTCTGTTTCTTTCCCCCTAGTAATAACGGAAATAATAATTCTGTCCTAACAAGGAATTGTTTCTTATTAATATCGCATCGATCACAATTTAGTTGATATTCTTTCACATTCTTTTTACCGCATATGCTAGGCCTGTTTGGTTATTTTATGTCACTCAATATCTACTTCCTGTACATGTAAAGAAAGAATGCTAGTGTTAACATGGAATGGGAAATCTTTCATTCATTTCCCAGAATGAAAATCTAACATTCCAGGCACATTTCCACCAACGCTTTTTTATTAGTGGATGGGTTGTAATTGAACTTACTGATGCTGATAGAGGTTTGCCTTTCGATGTCTTTTTTATCACTTTCGAGTCGGCTTTCGACGGACTTTGTGAGCGTATCCTCTTTGCATACTGTGTGAATGTAATTTTACTAAAAAGCCATCTATATTTTTTTTTTCATTTAAAACTGCATACAAGCTTTCGCTGTTCATGACAGCCTTTGTTAGCTTGTTTGATGCAGACTTTCACTACATGAAAGCTTTCGCTATCAGGCCTACCACAATTAATATCTCGTAAATAATTATCTTACAGATACCGAATTTAGAAGGTTGACAGCAGTTTGCCGAAATGTTACCATATTTCAAATTTTCCACGGTTAATGAATTCTAGTGATTCATTCAGTATTTCAATTAGATGCCTGTATTTCCCATTGGAAGACTTTATGCCATGTTACGCCATTGGAAGACTAAACTATGCTGAATCTATCCCATGCAAGAAACACCAACTTCACACTTAGTTTATGGGAAATCCATTAGATTTCATTAATTTAGTCTCATTAAGAACTTTATAGCGATTTTGCTTCCGGAATACCTTTTCAAACATCATATTCATTGGATAAAGCTAATTTTGTTACTGTTTGATGAAGATAATCTGAGGCATCTTGAAGTTACCAATTGGCTACTACCATTTTTGATTATTAATAGTATTTCTTAACCTAATTCATATTCTGCCCCTTAAAATGAAATAAAATTAAATTTTCGCTATACGTATTATCATTTGGAGAGTATATTATGATACAGAAAGGATCATCAGATGCAAAAATGAGAATTTATAATTAAATAAACTGTAGAATATGCATGCATTTTCAGAAAATAGTATCTATTGGAAGCTCTTTATTAAGCAAGTAAAGGGGAAGGATATTTTGCCAAAGAATCATAATTTTCTCATCTTTATACATTTCAAAAAAATAATTTTGATATAAAAGAAAAAAAAAGGATTTTTGCTCCGATTCGAAATGACGATGCCAGTCTCTGGGAACCTGACTGGTAGGTCTTCGTTCGTCGCTGCAGTGGGAAAGGTTCCTGGAAGCTTTCTTCCTAGGCCATCATATTGGTTCTAGTACAAACATCACTGTGTCATTCACTGAGTCAGGCAGTCATTCACGCTTTCTCCATCTACAGGTGGTTGTATCATTAATTTTTATGAACCATCAGAGGTAGCGAGGTCTTGGAATCAGTTCCGTCGCTTTTCTGTAGCCTTTCTGAAGCTCCTTTCGATAGGGCAATGCTACCTACCATATCGCATTCAGCATCCAATATATCCTATGTGACTAGCATGCTCAAAATATCATTTAGACTTCAAGGTCACTCGATCCGTCTCCAGTCAAGATTACCAAAGTATACATTAGCATTCAGAGTTAATACTGTCCCATTTTGGATGCTTACAATCTGTATTAGAATAGCCTTCTAGCACCAACTAATCAGGATAATTATCGGGCGACATTACTCTGTGTGTAGTTCTTTGTAGCCATAGAAAGGTAAGCATACAAAATATTTTATCTATTGAACCCCTTTTGATCTGTTACCTCAATATTTACAAGTTTTATCGTATATTACCACTTCCATTAATATGTGTGTTGTAATGCATGTCATTAATGATATTGCAATTTCATTGAATAGCACTCTGAATGAGGTGCTACTCTGACGTACACAGACGAACAAGCTCACCTAAGACCGAGCGGTAAAGCCGCTGAACACTGGTAGTCCGACCAAGATTCGTTTCCAAGTGAGCGGGGTCTGGTTGCATTTGAGTCTTCGTGGTTTTTTCAATGTGAAACGTAGATTGGTTTGAGAAAATTGGTTTAACAGTGGCAGAGCCGTAAAATCGCTGAACACTGGTAGTTTGGCCTGAGTTTGATGCCAGGCGAATGAGCTGGCTGCATGGGCGTTTTTGTGCTTTCCCCTATGTGTTACAGAAATACGAGCCAAATTCTTTAAGAAAATCCTCCACGAAGGCATCCTTCCCCTTAGGCTAATTGCCCTCGTGTGCTTTGCCGTAATCAAATATGCCAAATCTGTGAGCATATTAAAATATGTTCAAGAAAACCTGCAGAATATATACGAACGTTCTTTCAATGCTTAAAACTGCGTAGTCTTAAGCACTGAAATATATAATTAATATATTCAGCTTAAATCAATATATGTTTTCTTTTGTTTATATTCATTAAAATGGAAACAAAGACTTCATTTTCTAATCAGGTATACAGTGGTGGCCAAAATTGTGGACACTTTTGGAAATTTTTATGTTTTTGAACTTTGTATGCATATAGAAAACTTTACGTTTCACAAAATGCAAAGTTGTATATATCATTTTAAAGAGAATTTATTACTGAATTCAATACAAAACACAAAGTTCAATTATTTGCAATACAAAGAAAGTTAAACGATAATAGTTATCGATATACACTAGATAGTGATTATTGCAGTGAGTTATCAGTACTTAGTAGAGTACCCTTTATTTTTGATTACAGCTTCACATCAAACGTTTCATTGAGCTGACAAGAGTTTTAAGCTCTTCTTTCGTTATTACACGATGCCAGGAAACAATTATAGCCTCAATTAGTTCCCTTTTATTTGATGGGCGCCTCATTCGGACAAGAGTTTTCAAACGGTGCCACAAATTTTCGATAGGATTGAGGTCAGGACTGTTTCCTGGCCATGACAACAATTTGCTCTTTGTACGAAACCACTCTTTCGATATTTTGGCCGTGTGGCAAGGAGCAGAATCCTGCTGAAAAATAAACGAAGCATTGTTGGGAAAGAGATCTCTGATGTAAGGTAGAAGTTTTGGTTCTGGAAAAGTGTCAATGTATTTCCTGGCATTCAGTGTCCCATCCATGACATGAAGGCGACCAATACCATTTGCTGACATGCATGACAAGAACATAACACTAACTGGGTTCTTCACAGTTGCTTTAATGCAGTCAGGATGTAGCTCTTCTCCTATTCTACGTCTTACATATTTTCGCCCATCACTACCGAATAACGATATCTTAGTTTCATCACTCCATATAACTTGTGACCACTGATCATCTGTCCAATTAATGTGTTCCTTTGTCCACTGTAGTCTTTTTTTTTCGTTGCTGAAAATTAAAATAAGGCTTTTTTCGTGGAATTCTACCTCTCAGTCCAACATCTGTTAATCTTCTCCTGATTGTTCTTGAACTGACAGAAACACCAGCATCATTGAGATCACTTCTGATGACCACCGATGACATTTTT